TGTGGGTAGTTTTGGATTGTTGAAAATCATGTGAGTGGGCTCTATGAAATCCCACAATGGACTTGATGATCTGATTTGATGAGTTTGGATGTTATTTGTGTTGGTTAAGTGTTAATCTAGTAGAGATAAATGGAAAAAGTGAAAAGAAAATCAAAAGAAGTGATGCATGAAGAAGGGCCGAATCTGCCCTGTTCTTGTCAAACCTTTGGTGCAATTTTTTTGTGGTTAAATTGACTTGATTTTGATGTAGATATGTTGTATAGGTTGTGTGGAAAGTTTCCACCAAAAATCACTTGATTTGGTTGGCCAAAAGTTGAATTTTCGAAATGGTTTCAAAGCTGGAAAACGTGTCCAGAGTTACTCTGGCAGCAAAATTCAAACGGTCATAACTCTTTGCTACGATGTCAAAATCGAGCGCCGTTTGTGGCATTTGAAGCTAGATACTTCCAGTTTCCTAACGGTATAAAGTGCATCCCTGATTCAACTTGAGTGAACTGTACCAGTTCTTCAAATTACCTGTCCTGTTTTGTTACTCTGCTAGAGAGTTAATGAGCTGCTGGGACTTGTTGCTTGAATTTGAGTTAGCTATGGACAGAATTTTAAAACAATTTCTTCTGATGAATTGTAGCCCTATGAATGTAGTTTCCAACGCCACCAACCAACCATGCTTAATTCCAAGTTGAATTGAGTGAGTTATGGCCTAATTACAGACCTACACCAGAGAAAGAAAACCCTAATTTTTGGCTAGCCAATGGCTTATTTCGAATTGGGACTTGTTATTTTGAAACTTTTGGTGTCAATCACCTACCAAATGTATGTTGGATGTTTCTTAGACCTTTTCTTCATAATGAACCATGTTTGAGATGATTTCATTGGCCAAAGGTTCGAAAAAAATTCAAGAAGAAAGGATTGTTGACCAATCTTAGAGTGACAAGTGGCGATCATCCTAAGGTTGTTGACCAACCAATTTCTTCCATATTTATCACGAAAAATCACTTAAATTGATCTTCATTTCAGTCATTCCAGCCGTGAGTTTTGAGGGAGAAAACAAGAAAAAGAAAACTCCATTTCCATCTTGAGCTTAGCTTGTTTGAGTGAGAAATCAAGAAATCCAAACTGATTAAACTTTCATTTTAGTGCTTAGATAGTTGTGTGTGGTAAAAGTTTGGGAAGAAAGTGTTTGGTTTCACACCTATAAGGAGCTTTTGGAAGGTTCCATGGCTGCCTATCCCTTTTACTTTTCCTTAATCTTGTTTAAGTTTGGATAGAAACTCATATTCTTGCCTTACGACGGTTAATCGGTTAGTTTTGATTGATTTGTTGGAATATGGAGCTAGGGTTTACATTTTCAGCTTTTATTATAGTTATCTACCTCTTAATTGATGTTATTGAGCTAGTAGTTGATGGTTTTGATGATAGAGTACTTGTTAGATATGAATTTCTAGAGGAAAAGTTCAAATTCCAGAATTTGGAAACCAATTTGTCCTGTTCTGACCAGTTTCATTCGGGCATGGTAGAGGCCGAATTGGGATTATCTTAAAACATGAAAGTTGTAGTAAATGATGATTTATAGCTTCCTGTAAAATTACAGCTCAATCCGAGTACTGTAACACATGAAATGACAAAAATACCCTTGACTGTCAAATGCCCTGTTTTGTGGACAATTTTCTGTCTTCTTTGAGATTGCATGATTTGACCTTGAAAATGCATGAAATAGTTGTTGATGTTTTCATGAACTTGTAGTTCTCTGTCTTAGCTTCGAAACGGTATAAATTGCACTCAAATCCGATAAGTGTAGCGTCAGTTGAGACTGAAACGCTAAGGGACGTCAAATCTGCTATCTAGTTTTGTCTTCAAAACTGATTTCCGATTGCCTTATTTGACTTGTGTTGTAATGGGATGATGTTGGAGCCTAAATGACGGGCTATGTTGGTAACATTACTTGTGTATGTTTTGGGACTGATTTGAGGAAAATAATGAGGCCATAAATGGCTGAAAAATAGGTAAACACAAGGGGCATGCCACCCAAATTTTGACTAGAGATATAAACCAGCCTTTGGAGTTTTGATTCTGTAATCTACAAATTCGACCTAGATCCATTGAAAACTGGGTTAAGTTGTCTTCATAAAAGTTGTAACCCTTTGTCTTAGCTTCGAGACGCTACCTAGTACACCTTTATACGATAAATGCAGCTCTAGTTATGGTCAAAACCGTGTAACCCATTTTCATACCATTTTCATTTCTGCGCACGCGCACATGCATTTCTTGGCCGTTTTGGCCGTTTTGGCCGTTTTAGTCCTTATTTTCATTTGTGATGGTTGTTTGACTGATGGTTGGGTATAATCTTCTGTCACAGGTAGTGACGAACCAGATGGAGTCGGTGAACCCGTATAAAGTGCCTTAATTTGCGTGCTAACTATTTTGAGTGAGTAATTGGGTTTCTTTACGTGATAAATTGTCAAGGTGACTTATATATGTTAAATGGGTACTTAGGCGAGGGTGTACTTTATCTCACTCGACCTAAGCCTATCCTTTGTTTTTGATTTAATATGTGAGAATATATACTTTGTGTTGAGTATCACCCTTTTGCTATGTGCTGTTGGGGTGATTACATGACTTGAGTTGAACCCCTTGTGCTGTGTGCTGTTAGGGTGAGTATTTTGTTGAGAGATATCATCTATTGAGAGATTGGATATCTCAGGGGTTGGTTCCACCTCGGTTCCAAGAGTAGACGGACTATTCAAGCCAGCCGGGGCTTGGTCGAAGTTAGTCCCATGCTAACCTTGGAATTTCGTTCTTTGTTAAAGTTTTGATGAAAGCTAAGTGATTTTGTTTCGCTCGAGCTGCTGTGTGCTGTTGACTGGCCAGCGGGGGTTGATAAGGTGAACGAGAAAAGTAAGTGGAGTCTACGGATGATGAGTATTTTGGTTGACGGAGTGTCAACAGGCGTTCAAGCTCGGGGAAATGAACTGGCTTTGAAGCCACCCGTATCCTACCATTGTGATGTTACATTTTTTCCTATTGATGTGAAATATCTTGGGTTACATGTTTATTTGGATGTGATTTTATGTTTTTACCCCGATTATTCACTAAGCATATAACTTACCCCATTCCATTTGTTTTCCTTAGCAGGGGCCAACGCGGGGATCTCTCGGGAAGGTGTATAGACTTTTGGTTTAAAGAATAGCTGATGTTGTCCTAATACTTGTTATAAGTGGACTAGCAAGATGTATATATTTGTTGTGGTGATTTTAGTCATCAGCTTTTCTAGGGTTTACTTTCTGGTACTAGTGGTATGTATGGTTTGATGTAATAGTTTATATAACTTTTGAAGATGTAATTGTGTATATAGAACTTTCTTTTAGCGTGAAATTTATTTATCGTTTTGGAATTGAGTCCTGGCGCGAGCTAGGTAGGCGATCCGCTAAGCCCTTTGGTACGCCTCTGGGTACGGTAGGGTCGTCACAGGTGGTATCAGAGCGCCTAGGTTAGAGGACTTGGGTAATTAGGAAGCATTTAGGTTAGAGTACTTGGGCAGTTGGGAAATATGTTATATGACACATAAGAATTTGATTGTCTTTAAGTTGAATCGTATCAATTAAGATGAAATGCCGGAGAACTGATTAAGTGATGTTTATTGTGTAGGTATGGAGGCTGGTGGATCTAGCGATACCGGTGGACCTAGCGGTGCCGGAGTGCGAGCTGCTAGTGTAGGTCGGCCGGTGAATCGGGTGGTGCGCCGATGAGTTCTTAGATATCAGAAGAGGATCGGGGAACCCTATAGGCTATATTCTTCCTTCGGTCAGATGAGTCGATCGTGTGAGTGTCGACATACGTATGGATACCCTGACGAGATAGTTATGGCTATAGATGACGAGCGTCGTTGCCTAGGTAAGACGATTGACACTCTGAGGGCACAGTTGGAGGAGGCCAGAAGAGTGAGCCATAGACAGGCCGTGCGCCCTCGTGACCTTGAGGAGGGGTTACGAGCTGAGGAGGAGCGGATATATACTCTTGGTCGTTAGCTTGAGGAGACCCACCGCCACCTCTTCGCTTTGAAGGGGCAGATGAAAGAGAGAGCCCGAGGTATTATGCTAGACTGTGAGGTTCTCTTGGATATGACTGCAGAGGCGCCACCTAGGGCTGGCGGCGCAGGGCCGATGGATGCAGTAGATTCTATGGGCTCTGTAGGGGATTTTCACTAAGGCCGTTACCTTGACTTGTTTTGTTGACTTTTGGAGCCAATGTGCTCATGAAGTAACATGTTTTGTATTGGTTGGATGCTAGTTACTATGTGGACTAATATGTGTATATTTTGGCGTGAATTGTATATAGATGTATATAGTTTAGTATATGACATTTTGGCATTTTAACCATTTCGTGCATTTTATAATTTTCCACGCATTGAAATAGTACTATATTTTGTCCCAATTATAGAAGTTATAAAACAATCAAATGGAGACCCGTGGTCAAGGTGGGGGTAGAGGTCGAGGACAAGGAACCGAAGGGGTAACCAATGAAACTGCAAATAGACAAGCTGAGACCCAAGTAGAAGTACGGCCATACAGCGAATGGCTGATTTGTTAGAACAAATGGTCAACCAATAGGGTCAAAGCCAGGTACAGCATCCCGGAAATCATGAGGGAGAGGACCGTGCCTTAGAACGGTTCCAGAAGTTTCTACCACCAAAATTTTTGGGTGGATCTAACCCTGATATGGCGGAGAGTTGGTTGGATCGAATATTAGATATTTTCGCTGCGTTAGGATACCCGAAGGAACGGCAGATAGCTTTGCCGTTTTTCAATTTGATGGGGCGGCTCGTGCCTGGTGGAATGTGATCCGAGCCAAATGGGATAGAGAGCAGACCCACTGGACATGGGTTAATTTCACTCGTGAGTTTAATGAGAAGTACTTACCACCACTTATTCAAGAAAGACGAGAGGATGAGTTCATACGACTACGTCAAGGGACTATGAGTGTGGCTGAGTACGAGACGCAGTTTACGAAACTCTCTCATTTTGTTCAAGAGTTAGTGCTGACAGACCGGAAGATAATTCATCTATTTGTCCAGGGTTTGAACGTAGAGATTCAAGAGGCACTGGCTGCTGCTTAATTGGAGACATATAGTCAAGCTATTGAAAAGATACAAAGAATTGAAAGTACTAAGAGTCAAGTAAAGGCTTTTCATGATAAGAAAAAAAGACAACCGGATACAAGTAGTTATATTGAGGGACAGAGCTCAAGGAGCGAGCCACCATCTAAGATGGGTCGAGAAGTAGGTGGTTCACGATCAATAGGGACCCCGAATGAAGGAAAGTTTGAGAAAGGTCAGGCAGGGAGGGAGACCTAAAGGGGTACCTCACGTGGAGGTCCGACATCAGGACCTAGAATGACATGTGGATTTTGTGGGGCTGCTAACCACATGGAAGATAATTGTTGGAAGAAAGGGCAAGTTCGGAAATGCTACCGATGTGGTAGTGCTGAGCACCTGATTGCTCAGTGCCCTCACCTGCCAAAAGAAGGAAATTTGCCAAGGGCAGAAGGAAACACTTCTAAGCCAACCAATCCAACGAGTAATCGACCGAAAGTGCCGGCAAGGACCTATGCAACGGGACATCAAGAGGTGACAGTCCCATTGGCAATCATTAAAGGTACCCTTCCTATCTTCCATCGTATTGAGGTTTCCTTCTATTCGCTCTAATAGATTAAGGCTGAGTACAACGGAATTATTATGTTGTTAAGATTTTATGGAATTCGATCTATGAGACGTTCAGCGTTCATTAAGAATACGTAAAGACCATTGAGACTTTGAGATAAGGATTACACGGTTGGTTCTTGGATTGGAATACATAGAGTGACAAACTTTTGAGGTGAATTTTATTATCAATGATGAACTCGTTAATGAGGTATTAGAGTATTCTAACCCTTAGCTCATGAAAAGATTAAGAAGATTTGGCTTATAGGTTGCAATTTCGAGGACGAAATTTTTTAAGGAGGGGAGATTGTGATACCCCGACTTTTAGGATAATGTTGTTTTTAGTCTCAAAGAGGATATTGCGGGTTCTTTATTTTATTTTTGTTTTAAAACATTGTTTTGTTCTAAAGACTCGAAACACTACTTGTACTCAAAACCCTAGTTTTACTTTTTTCTTAAATCCCTCATATTTTACTCAAAACCCTAATTTCAATCTATAGAGTTATGAAATCCCTCATATTTTTCTTAAAATTCCCTTTTATTTGGAATCCATTACGGTGAGGACCCGAAAATTTTCTCATTTTATCTTATATTACTGGCTTATCTAAATGTTTATTCACCTGTTTTCTCCGAACAGTTTATTTCAACCATTTTAAATTCTTTTTTTTTTTTTAAGGAAATATGATTTTATTCATCAAGAAAGCAAACCAATCACAAGTTCTGCTTACAAACGCGTACTTCTCCGAAATGAAGGCACCCCTAACCTATCTAATCTGACCCCCCCACGAGCCAATGCCGGAAGAGCGTGGAAATTGTCGTAGACCTTAATATGCTGTTCAGGATGAGAGACGCCTATTCTGGACAAAACATCCGCCACAGTGTTAGCCTCCCTGTAACAATGCGAGATTTGAACCGAATCATCCACTAGCTGCCAAATTTGCCTGGCCTCTCGACGGATCCGCCATGGACACTGGAACCGCCGCTTCAGAATCCCAACTACGACCAAAGAATCCGATTGGAGATTTAGATTACCATAGCCCCTGTGGATACACAATTGAAGCCCAGTTAGCAGGGGCCGAACCTCCGCCCGTAGGGAAGTGATCTCCCCAAAGAAGGCCGAAAAGGCAAACAGAGGCAACCCCGTTGCATCTCGGAGGACCCCACCGCCTCCACTCACTCCAGGATTCCCCTTAGCGCAACCATCAACATTAAGGGTAAGCGTCCCACTCCCCCTCACCTCCCAGCGAACACGTTGGACTATGCATACGGGCAATTGCGCCCAATCATACAACTGCCCAAATGTTTTCGCCCCAGTCTTAAGCTTGAATTGGATCTCTACAATGACTTTGATCTCCGAGAATATGGCTTGACAAATCTTCGTGGAGGCCATCGGGACCCCCTCAAATACTGCTTTATTCCTGGCTTTCCAAATGTGCCAGCAGATGAGACTGGGAAGGATTAAACAAATGAATTGCCGTGTTGCAGACTGCTGCGACCGCAACCACCATTCAACTATGCGAGCACGCAGGGAGGATCCAGAGCTCCTAACACCACACCAGCCACCAAAATAGTTCCAGATGTCCAAAGCTATGTGACCCCCGGCAAAAACATGCTCAGGAGATTCCTCAACTGCCCCTGGGCAGCAAGGGCATTTCGATGGCAAGTGAAAACCTAGGCGGCGTAGCATATCTGGCAGTGGCACCCTTCCCATCAGCAAGCGGAGCATAAAGAAAGACACTTTCAATGGGAGTCGAGGGTGGCAAACTCGAGAGAGGACCACAGACATATTACGGGACTGCCTGACGTCATGGAAAGCTGACGCCAAGGTGAATTTTCCAGACTGTGTGGGCATCCAAATTACTTCATCTGCACATCCTCCCGCTGGAACCGGGTGGTGTAGGATAGAAGTCACAATGTCACTAGGCAAAAGGTGAGATAAAAAACTCACATCCCAAGCCCCATTTTTGATACTGCTAAGAAACGAGAGATGCAGGATGACTGGTGCGCGAAGGTACAAGGCACCACTACCCAACCAATTGTCGTACCAAAAATGGCAAGACCCATCATTTACTAGCCATAACATAGAGAGCTCGACCTGTCGGCTTACGTTCACCATCCGTCGCCAGACCGGCGACGCAGTCAGCGTCAATTGTGCTTGACAGGGGTGAAGTCCTCTACAATATTTTGCGCGCAGGAATGCCGCCCTTACCGACCTCCCTGTTCGAAAGGTCCACCATAATTTACAAGAGAAGGCTGTATAGACATCTTCAAGCCTCCGAAACCCCAGCCCGCCCTCCTTCACCGGGAAACACAACTGAGACCACGAATCCAATGAAACTTTGTTTCGTCAGGAGATGAACCCCATAGAAAGTTTGAGCAAGCCTTCTCTAGAATGCCGAACACCGAGCAAGGGAGCACAACGGCCGATAGTAAATGGACTGGGATTGCGGACAGCACATGCCTGATTAGAACGATCTTACCTCCTGCAGATAATAGCTTTGATTTCCACGACAAAATCCTCTGCAAGATTGCCTGACACACCTCCCCAAAGTATGACGACTTACACCTCCCAAAATATAACGGAAATCCCAAATAGCGTATGGGAAAAGCCTGCCCGACAAACCCCGTGACGCGCTCAATCACTCTTCTTCTGGCCGGCGCCAAAGCAGGATGAACCAAGTACCCACTTTTCTGAGCATTTATCAGCTGACCCGAACATTCTTGATAGCCTTCCAGCACCTGCATGATGTCCTTTAAGGAGGAAACAGACCCATTCGCAAATATAAGAACATCATCCGCAAATGCCAAATGCGTTACCGGGGGGCACCCGTACGGAACTCTGAACCCCAAGAAACCCGGCTGCAACGCAAGGTTGTTTAAGCCCCTCGACAGAACCTCAGACCCTATAATAAACAAAGCCGGCGACAACGGGTCCCCCTGGCGGAGCCCTCTCGTAGATTTGAAGAAACCATATGAAGAGCCATTGATTATTACTGAAAACCAAACATTCGACAATAGCCGCCACACCAGATCTATAAACTGCTCCCCAAACCCAAACCTTCGTAAGACTCCAATGATATGCAACCATGACACCCTGTCATAAGCTTTAGACATGTCCAGCTTCAACACTACGTTTCCACCCCTAACTTTTTTCCCAATTCCCGAAACCACTTCCTGAGCAAGCAAATAATTCTCTGTTATATTGCGGCCCTTAACAAAACCTGTCTGCTGAGGGGAGATAAGCTTTGGCAAGATGCCCGCCAATCGATCAGCCAAAATTCGAGATAATAACTTGTTGAAAAAATTGCATAGGCTAATCGGTCTAAATTTAGAGAAATCCTGAGGACTCGATACCTTAGGAATCAACACAAACGAGGTAGAAGTGATGAAACGAGGCAGTTCTGCCCCACAAAAGAAACTTAGTACCGCTGCATAGACGTCCTGAGCAATAACCTCCCACGCAAAGGTAAAGAATTTGCCTGTGAAGCCATCCGGTCCGGCAGCACTATCCCCATCCATTGCCTTCACCACCCGATGAACCTCCTCAATAGTAGGTGCCTCATCTAAGATCCTGTTGTCCTCACCTGAGACCACCGGTGGAATAAGGTGCAACATATCCGAGGCAGGTCTTGACGTGCCCGAGAATAGGTCAGAAAAATATGCTATTGCCTCACTCGCTATATCCTCATCCGACTCCACCCACACCCCACTGGCTGCCTTTATCCTATGAATCGTACCTTGAACCCGTCGCTGCCTCACCACTGCATGGAAGAATCTAGTATTACGATCTCCACTGCGAAGCCATTTCACTCGAGCCTTTTGACTCCAGAACTGCTCTTCAACGGACAGCGTATGACGTAACTCCGCTTGCGCCTTGTGGAGTTCGAGTTGTGCCTCCTCCGACCCATCGTGATCCATGGCCTCCTCTGCCCGTTGAACCGTCGCCTCCGCACCCCGAACAACATCAAACACATTGCCAAAACAATGCTTGTTCCAGTGCTGAATAGCTCTCCTGGCTGCCAACAATTTAGAGCACAATACCCGCAATGGAGAGCCACTCACTTCTTGATCCCAAGCACTACGAATCACCTCCAAAAGTTGTGGTTTGGACGTCCAAACATTCAGGAAGCGGAAAGGCCGTGGTTTATCATCCAAGCGTGAGGTAAACGAAATCTTCAGTGGTGCATGGTCTGAAGGGTGCCTCGCCAAATGCACTACAGAAATCGAGGTGGACAAGTTCAAACAATCCCCATTAATTAAAAACCTATCCAGCCGCTTCGAGACTCTAGCCCTGCCTCTCCTATTATTACACCAAGTAAAGCTAGCTCCCGAAAAACCCACATCAAAAACTCCAGCCTCTTCCATAAAAGACAGAAGCTCTACCCCTTCAGCTACACCAAATGGCCGCCCCCCCCGTTTCTCATGGGGTGCCAGAATGGTATTAAAATCTCCCCCAATGCACCAGGGAGACGAGCTAGGTTTATCAGCTAAAAGGTTTAGCCATAAGTCCCTACGCTCATCCCTAGAGCATTTTGCATGAACGAAGGACATTGTGACCGAACTAGGCAAAAGTGGATGTTGAACAGCCAAAGAGATATGTTGATCAGAATTGCACACAACCGAACACACAAAGGGACTACTATAGAAAACCCAAAGATCCTTCGATCGATTCACAAGCACACAATCAAAAGACAATTTTAGACGAATGGACACAATTTTAGACACATCTAGCTTAGGTTCACAGATCACCACAAACCTAGCCTGATGCAATCTTACTAACTTAATCAATCTACGTAAGTTAGAGGTTTTAGCCACCCCTCTAATATTCCAAAAAATGCCGTTAATCATGAGACAGAACCTGAAAAGAGTTTTGGGAGGATGTCGCCGATTGTAGCTGTCTGTCAGAGGGAAGCCGGGCCCGCACACCTTTCCCTCGCGCTTGTCTAAATCCATGCTCTACCGCCACAGATTGATCAACGTTCAACTGCACCACCAACGACTCCAACGGTAGCTCCTGACTCCCTAATAACCTTGGTGACAAATTTCCCGCAGTGGTAGGCAGCTCAATCTCACCGCAATTCTGTTCCCCATGCGCCAAAGCTTCCTCCACATTCAATGTTGCACCCATGCTCTCCAAATCCCTGTCATGGAGAAGACACTGCTGCCCCTCAGCTTGGGGCTGATGCCCAGCCCCCAAAGATAGCGCCGAGAGGACTTGCTGCTCCTCCTGACGCGGCCCATCTGTTGTTGTAGCAACCCCATCTTCCCGCCCTTCCAAAACTCCCTCCACCCCCTCACAATCTGCCACACGACCACTGCCTTCGTAGGTCACACCGACGCAATGCCCGTCCATCCCAGCCGCTACAATGTCCATTGCGCAACTCCTAGACGCACTGCCCTGCTGAGGTGCGGCTTCTGCAACAGCTCGCACACCAGGCCCAAGAGGCTGGTTCCCCTCTGCTGCGGCTGCGCAGCTGGTGCTCCCACAGCCGCCTGCATGGCTTCAGTGTCCTTAGCCAGGATAGTCCTTCGCACCTGGCCAACCACCTGCTGGTCCTGCCTTCTCGCGATTCGATTTTGCTGGTGCCGAGCTGCGAACTCAGAAGAATTCCTCTTGCATTCTTCATTGGAGTGACCCACTCGCCAGCAGAAAGAGCAATACGCCGGCAAATCCGCGACAATGCTCTGCCAGAATCCTTGCTCTCCTTCGACGGCCACCCAAATCCTCTGAGCAACTGGCTTGGCAACATTAATTTCCACGCACACCCTAGCCACACTCGGTCGGGTGCCGGCAGCCGTTGCCGCATCCAAGAAGAGAGGCCTGCCGATGGGAGAAAGAATTGAGAACAATGAGTGCTTGTCAAAATAATGAATCGGTAGAGCTGGTAGAGCCACCCAAGTCGGAACCAGGGAAGACTCCTTGTGCACATGAAACTCCCTTGTCCACCGGAAGACGCGCATCGGAAATTTTCCTAACTGCCAAATACCTCTTGTCCAGATCCTATTGAAGTCTACCTCCGTTGCACATTTGATCAACACATGCCTGTAGTCCATCAGCCCAACCGAGACATGATCCCTCAAATTCAGTGTCGCAAAGAACTTCCGAACCTCCTCTAAAGCAGGCCGACCATACGAAAATTTTCCAACAAGAGCCCAGCGAAACGGCGCGGCAAGTCTATCTGCATCTTCTTTGGAGAATACCACCGCAGCTTCACCTTTATATACCGTCGCAGGCCGAATCTGAATGGGGGATGTAGCAGGCTGTGAAAATAATTGAGAGAAGGATTTCTTTGCTGAGGGAGAAGCCCCATGCCCCTCAGCCGCAGGCTGATGGGCAGCCATGAAAACCTAATGCACCGACCCTATGAGAAACCCTAGCAGTTCGCCGAGAGAGCAAAAACTACTTCAAAAGTATAAATGCGCACTCTAATTGCCTCTAATCACCATCATTTCTTAACTCTTCATGCAGGTTTATTTGGGCTAGATTAATTATCCCCACGATCCAAATTAGACCGCTTGCGAGGCGGTGAAATTGTCTCGTTTGCCACTAATCAAGATGCTTAAAGGCGACGCGCCAACATCCTAATTGGCTATCAATTATTTAGACAATCGAATAACAGGCCTAATTATCCAATAAATCTAAACAATAATAACTCAGGAAAAAATAGAGTATAATCAAATACCCATGAACATATAAATTAAAAATAAAATAATTAAAACGATCTCACAGTTATGGTGCCCCGATCCTTGATTTATTCCTCAACTAGATAAACGAACAAGCCTTGCCGCATAATCATGAAGCAATTTGGAGTTTTCGTTGATTGAGGAAGTGGTAAAAGGTATCGGCCGCCACTCACTACTTGCGTTCAAAAGGAAAAAGAAAAAAACAAAGAGACAAGTCCAAGACAGAAGATCCATTTTAAATTCATTTTTATGGAACCATGTCTTATTTATACTTTTAAAATGTCTCGCTAACAAATTTAAATTTTCTGAAGGCTCGTTTATTAAGGAATAACAAATATACACCTTTGAGATGATAGTCGATCCGAGAGTACAATGATTTTGGAGAATTAAGGATGATCAATAGGGGACTAAGAAGAGTTAATTGAGAGATTAGATGTGATTAAGTTAAATAAAGTTTTTATTATGCGTACGTCGATAATTTCTCGTGTGAGGACTCGCAAATTTACTTATTTTAAATTCCTATTTCTAGCTTATTTAGATATTTATTTGGCCAATTGCTCCGAATATTATTTTCTAACTTTTTTAGACCTAATTATATGGATCTATAGCTTAGTTATATTTTTAAAGTGACTTGTTTCAAACTTTAATTTTTGGAAGCTCGTTAAGTGAGAATAGTGAATACGCGTTTGGAGACAATAATCGATTCAAGAATATAATAAGTTTGGAAAAATTGGAGACTTGTACATTAGTCTTGAAATAGGTATATTTTTTATGTTTAAGTACTCAAGTGATAGTTAGTTATACCATCGTTATAAGAAATCCTTGGAGATTTCACTTTATCGCGCTTAAATCGGAAGTACGCGTTTTTACGCGCGCGATTAATTGAGAGACTATAGACCATTATTTTTAAACTATTAAAAGTAAATAATAATAGTATGAATGGAAGTGCATTAGAGGGTTAGTGCACTAGTGAAACAAACTCGAGAGAAATCGAGCACGAAACGCGCGCACACGCGCGCGATGTAGAGTTGACTGTTGAAACAATTCTTGTCCACAAACTTATAAGCTTCACAAGAAAGCTTCCTCATCAGCAACTTCATTTTCTTCTTCCTCATTCCAGCCGTGCAACTCCAAGGAAGAACAAGACCAAGTTCTCCATTTTCCTTCACCAATTCTTGCTTCAAATCTCCACCAAATCACCTCAAATTTTAACTACACTTAGCTAATCACTTGGTGAACAACTCAAGCTAGGAAAAGTGTGACAGCCCCACCTTCCCCTAAGGCGAACCAAAGGGGTTAGCGGACTGCCTGCCCAGCTCTCGCCAGGACTAACAGTGCAGTTAGAGCGATCTATTGCGTTCCGGAACTTACAAACGCGCATAAACAAGTCAAAATGGCAAAATAACCCAAAATAAAAAAATGAAATCTGGAGTCGGCCATGAATAGTAACCAACCCGTCAGAACCCAACCAAAAACCAAGCAAACGTTCACATCTTGAACTTTAGTATTTACAATCCAAAGTTGCATACAAAAGTATTCAAAAGTGGATACATGTATGGTTTGCCAAATCAAAAGAGAAACAGACCCAAAAGTACATTTAGGGTTTCAATAAATGAGCTATACAAAAGATATGTCCAACTAGCTCATTTCGGCAACCAATTATCAATTGCAGTCCAAAAGTAGTTATTTTCCTGTAAGGAAAACAAAAGGAATAGAGTGAGCTAATTGCCCAGTGAGAATACTACCCAAGCAACAAAGTTCACATAGGCATAAAGCTTTTCATTTCAATTCATTAAAAGTAAGCCAAGACACACGTCAATATTGAGGATAAAAGGATACGGGTGGCTCTCAAAAGCCCTTTTCCTCGTTTGCATTCTTGATCGGATCTCATTGACTCTCCGTCAATGTTCAAAAGTAACCAACCATATGTGAGAACCCATAATTGCCCTAATAATTTTCCTAGGGTTTTTCCCCTTTAATTGCATGTTTTCTGCATTTTCTGGCTTAGAAATATTTTCCTGGTGAATTTTATGAGTAATTATAGTTTTTAGATGATTTTTCTAGTATTGGAGAATTTTTAGAAAATTAAGAATATATGTTGGACGTGGGACCCACTAGTGCGAAAAGTTCAGAAAATTCGACCAATTAGGTTAAATTCCAGATACTGTGTAAAATTTATCGGGTGTTAAGAGATAAGTAGAGTGTGTGAAATGATTGATGTGAGAGAGAAAAGAAAGGATAGGAATGCATTTATTGTAGTGCCACATGTCACCATGATATTGGTTAGGACTTAAGACTACTATTCATGGTTTTGACCTTTTGACTTATGGATTAAATATCTTCAAAATTCACAAAAAAATTACCATTTTTCACCCCTTGATGGTCGGCCCTCTCTAGCAAGAAGAAAGACAAAACTCTTCAACATCTTGGCAAATTCCTAGCTCAAATCATCCAAACTACTTGCCTAAATTAGTTTTTACTCCATAAAATCCTTCCACTTGGTGTTAGTGAGTGTTTTGGTGAAGCTTTTTGGAGAACTTAAGGTGTCCAACATCTTCCTCTCTCTTGTTTACTTGGTAAGTAGTGATTGACTATCCTCTTACACCTAATGATGTTGAATTTATGCCCAATGGTGGCTATTGTGTTAGAATTTGTGGTTTATTTCTTGGTTTGAAGTGATTTGGTTAAGTTTTTATTTTTTTGAGGAATTTTCTGGTTTTATGTAATCTTGATGGTGTGGTTGTTTTTGATGGTTGGTAATAAGGGGCTATGGCTCTAGTAGGTGCATATGATAGGAAATTGCAATCAATTTTGGGTTTGGATTGAAATGAGAAAAGTTAGGGTTGATAACCCCCAATTCTGTCCGGTTTTAGATCATAGGGTTAGAGGCCGAATTGGACTTTGATCAAAACATGAAAGTTGTAGGTATTGATAAGTTTGAAGTGCCTGAAACATTTCAGGGCATTTGGAGTAGTGTAGAGTGAGATATGTCGTTTTTACTGTTGCTGTTCTGGGTGATCAGAATGTGCGAACTGTGATTGTAATCGTCTGTTTTGACTGGAATTGGTTTGGATTTTGTTGTTGGTGTCTTCTGATGAAATGTAGCTTGATGCCTTAGCTATCATATTCCTTTGGAATCAATGCATTTGGACCTGTATAGACTGAATTGGACTGATTACAGTTTTGTGTGATTTGGGAACCTGCAATTACGGTTCTGGGTTGGTTTTCTGCATTTTTGACCTAGTTGTGTTAGGATTTGGACTGAGTGGCCTTCTACATTGTTGTAGCCCTGTCTCTTAGCTTCGCGATGGTGGGTCTTACACCCTCATCCGATACTCGTAGTGAAATTGGTGCCATTACCGCATTAGGAGGCCAAAACTGTTTTTGTTGTTGGGTCAAATGAGTTACATTTCCTGATTTTCTGGTTTGCTATAATGCTTGTATATGTTTGCAAAACCCTATTGGGGTTGTGATTGACATTGTTTTGTGACTCGTTATCGAGTCTCATTGCATTTGTTTACGCGTTCTAGAGCGTGACGGTGGTTCACGACATTCTCCTGACGGAAGTGCATGAAATAGCACTGAATTGATTGGTGAGTATACTACTCACTTAAATGTTACAATGTGGCTTTGGTATATGGGAATTTGATGCCTTGACGGCTAATATGG